CACTGCGCAACATTCTCTTTGCCCTTCTCCTCTGCTGTTGCCCGCAAGGGAGGTCCTCTGGAGCTGCGGGTGGCCGCGAGTCTCTTTGCCTCGCGCCGGGCGCTGTTTCCGACCGGACGCCTCTTGCCCTTTTGAGGCGGGGCTGGTCGTGGGGGAACCGGGAGCCAGGATCTGAAAGTAGGTTGGATCTGAGAGGGGGTCAAGAGGGGAGGGGAAGAGCGGGGGAGAGGAGGGAGAGGAGGAAGGGGGGGGGGAGTGGAGGCTGCTGGGGGAGCGGGAGGAGGGGCAGCAGGGAGAGAGGAGGCGGGACGCAGGGCGAGGCGGATGGAGAAACAGGCTCGAGGCGGAAGACGAAGGAGAAGCGGGCGGGGAGGCCGCGAAGAGCTTCCAAGAGCGCGCGGCAGCGCTTCCGACGGGTGCGAACATGCAGAGGATGCCCGCGGCGGCGACCCCGGCGCGGCCCGAACGCCGCCGGTGGCCCCGGGCTTGCCGAAGCCGGACGGTCTGCGCCCTCGGGGAGCCGCTGTCGTTCGGGGCCGAGCGGGAGCCACGCAGTGCCAGGGAGGGGCGCCGGCGTCGTCGCGACCCCGGGAGCCCGGCCGCGGGGGTCGAGGCGGGAGCGGAGGGGTTGCAAAAAAAACGAAGGATGGATTGCAATCCTTCGTTTTTTTGCAATCCTTATTTTTTTTGCGATCCTTCGTTTTTGTTACAATCCTTCGTTTTTGTTTGCACTCCTTCGTTTTTGTTGCAATCCTTTTTGCAAGCCTTCGTTCAAGTGGTTTTTTTTGGCAATCCTTCGTAGGAGCGGTCACTCGCCCAAGATGTTTCCAGGACCTGCGCGGAGGCCGCGGCGTCCGGGGCACCCCTCGCGGGGCCCAGAGGGCCCGGCGGGCTTCAAAAAAAAATTGCATGGGCGAGCGGGTGGGGCCCTGGACCAGGGGCAGTGTTGCCAAGGACTGGTGGAGAGAGGACGAGGGCGAAGGAGAATGAGGAGCAGGAGGAGGAGGATGGGGAGGAGAAGGGACGGGTGTGAACCCGAGGCCCGCCAACGATGTTGCCATAAACCATCTCTCCAAGTTCCCTCCTCAGAGGCCCCTTATAAAGGTTTTTCGTTTAGGGAAGTGCCCAGTTCGAAGACAATCGTTTGAAGATCCTACACCGCACCTAAACACCATTCCTGGGACTGCAACGTCGCGAATGAACTTTAGGGTTGCGTCCTGACGACCCTGAAACGTGCCAGAACGCTGTTGCGCCCTGACAGTCCTACATCGTGCCAAAACATCGTGTCTGGCACGTCAGCAAGTAGAACCCTTGAAACTGCTGCAAGCTCTGAGGCGAAAGTGTGCGGCGCTCAGGCGGCAGCCGCATTTTGCAAACGGCCCGCCCTCCATCTGTGAAGCTCTTGCAACTTTGTCAAACGAATGTGCGCGGAGCTCAGGCGATAGCCACATTTTTTCAGAACGGCCCGCACTCCATCCGTGAATCTCTTGCGAACTTTTAATACGAATATGCGCGGCGCTCAGGCGAGAGCGACATTCTGAAAATGGCCCGCCCTTTGTGCGAATGTTTAATACGAATGTGCGCGGCGCTCAGGCGAGAGCGACATTTTGAAAACGGCCCGGCCTCCACCCGTGAAGCTCTTGCGAAGCTCAAGCTTCAGGGCTTTATACGTGTTGAGGAAGGCTCTGGCGAAACGCCGGGTCCACCCTACCGACATGTTCCAGGGTGCGACAAGGAGGAGTTGTGTCTAAGGACAAGGAACGGAGGAGAAGGAGGAGGAGAAGGAGCAGCAGCAGGAGGAGGAGCAGCAGGAGGAGGAGCAGGAGGCGGAGGAGCAGCAGGAGGAGGAGCAGCAGGCGGAGGAGCAGGAGCAGGAGGACCAGCAGGAGGAGGAGCAGCAGGAGGAGCAGGAGCAGCAGGAGGAGCAGGAGCAGGAGGCGGAGGAGCAGCAGGAGGCGGAGGAGCAGCAGGAGGAGGAGCAGGAGCACGAGGAGGAGCAGCAGGAGGAGCAGCAGGAGGAGGAGCAGCAGGAGGAGCAGGAGCAGCAGGAGGAGCAGGAGCAGGAGGCGGAGGAGCAGCAGGAGGCGGAGGAGCAGCAGGAGGAGGAGGAGGAGGAGCACGAGGAGGAGCAGCAGGAGGAGCAGGAGCAGCAGGAGGGGGCCCGGGCGGGGCCTCGGGCCTCTCGGCGCCTCGGGCGCGCGGAAACCCCCGCGGGGGCCCGCCGAGCTCGCGCCCGCCACGAAGCCTGCGGCGGGCGCGGCCCGGGCGCGCCGCGGCGGGCCCGCCGCCAGACCTTGCATTGGGGGGCGGCGGCCGCCGCGCGCTCGGCGGCGGCCGCCGCGACGCGCCGGGAGAGCGCGGCCCGCTGCGACGCTGCCCGCGCGGGAGGAGGAAAGCTCAAGCAAAGCTCATATCTGCGCAGGAGCAGCGGCATTGACAGCAGCGGTTGTGTGCCGTGGCCCTCGGGCTCGAGGCCCGCGCAGCGCGGCGAGGGTACAGCAGGGGGTCGCGCGAAGTCCCCGCCGAGCTCGCACACCTCACTGCCCAGTACTTTTGGTATAGGATGTGCAGCGAAAACATCATCATCACATTATCACATCATCATCATCATCATCATCATCATCATCATCATCATCATCATCATCATCATCATCAGCATCATCATCATCATCATCATCATCATCATCATCATCATCATCATCATCATCATCATGCTCGCGCACGGCAGCGTGTTGAGGAGCTTGGGGCTGACGACGAATGGCAGCCTGCGGCCAGGCCGAGGCATGAGGTCGAGGTCGGGCTCGGGGAGGGTGCCCTCCGGTTCTTCGTGTTTGTTGGATGTTTTTGTGCATCCTGCGGGAGGGTACCCTCGAACGCTCTTCAGTTTGGCTGGCGGAGGGCTTCATGTTGTTGGGAGATGTTCTTCTCTGTTAGGTCTGGCCGTGCACGTCCCATGGACGCCGATGACGACGACGAAGCCCACAATCTCATCTTCCAGAAGTACGAGACCAACACCAAGACGGTTTTGATGAGTGATCATGTTGAGCAGACCACGAGGTCATGTCTCTGGGAGACAGCAGGCACATCGAATAACACATCGGCCTGTCGACAGGTACCTCAGGGAGATGTCTCACCCAGTGATGGCCCCCAGGGCCCCACAGGAGCGGCGTGGTGTACTTTACGGCCCTCTGAGATCGACTAAGAGTGCTCCCCTTGAGCGAAAGCCAACCCCAGCCAAAGCCAACCCCGGCGAAAGCCAACCCCGGCGAACGCCAACTCCCGGCGAAAGCCAACTCCCGGCGAAAGCCAACCCCGGCGAAAGCCAACCCCGGCGAAAGCCAACCCCGGCGAAAGCCAACTCCCCGGCGAAAGCCAACTCCCAGCGACAAACCCGGCGAAAGCCAACTCCCGGCGAAACGAAGCCCGGCGAAAGCCGACCCAGCGAGAGCCAACCCCAGCGAAAAGCACCCGTGCCCCGGCCCGGCCCCCCCCCCGCTCAGCCCTCTGGTCCCAGCCCCTGGGAGAGGAGGCTCCACGGACGGGGTTGGGCCGACCCCCGCCGGGCCTGGGGCGCAGGACGCGCGGCGTCGGTGCAGCCTCAAGTCGGGCCTGTCCCTCTACAGGGGGAATACAGTGGGGGCGCTGAACAAGGAACCCTTTTCGTTGGGGAGAGGCTCCGTGTTCCTTAATTGTTTCGCAGTTTGCATTAGGTAGTCCTTAAGTTTTCGATGGGGAATCGAAGTTTAACTTATGGATAAACAGGGGCCTCGTTCCTTATTTAGGGTTCCTAAGGTCAACGCCCCGACTGTAATCAAAAGTGGTCAAAAAATAGTCAGGGGATTGTTTTTTCGACCATGTTGTGACAATTTTGGAGCATTGTTCGGGCATCTTTTATTTTATCGTCGAAAATCCCCCTGTAGGGGGACAGGCCCGACTTAAAAGTGCAGCCTTGGCCTCCCTGGCGGCTCAGGCGTTGCTGCGCCCCCGAGCCTGCGGCGCTGGGCAGGGCGAGGCTATGCTCGGGGTGCAAAACTACATTCGGGCCGGACGAAGGGGGGGGGCCACCTCCGATTCGAACCTCCCCCCCTCTTCCCAGCCAAGCGTCCACAGAACGCGCTCTTTTCAACCTCCTCCTCCTCCTCCTCCTCCTCCTGCTCCCCCTCCTCCTCCTCCTCCTCCTCCTCCTCCTCCTCCTCCTCCTCCTCCTCCTCCTCCTCCTCTTCCCCCTCCTCCTCGTTCTCCTCCTCCTCCGCCACTGACGCACAGGCACCCTGCAGTGGATTGTTCCCTGGCCTCAGGGGGAGGGCGGCGGTGGATGCATCACCATCACGTGCCAACGATGTTGGACACGGCCACCCTCCCTAGAAGGCATAGGTAGCACTCGTCGGCGGGTGCTTCTTTAGGTTTCGGGGCGCACTCGGGCTCAAGCCGACGGGCGTCGCAGTCACCTTCGGAACCCTCCCGCCCTTGCCCCGCGCCGCAGCCGCGCCAGAGGCGGGAGCGATGGAAGACCCTGGTTGCCAGCGGTGCGCCGCACCCTGCGGCAGGCAGGAGGCAGGAGAAGAGGAGGAGGAGGAGGAAAACACACATGACGAGGAAGGGGGGGATCTTGGGAGGAGTACGAGGACGCGACGAGCATGAGGAGGAAGAGGATGATGATGATGATGATGATGATGATGATGATGATGATGATGATGCTGCTGATGATGATGATCATGATGATGATGATCATGATGATGATCATGATGATGATGATGTTGATGATGATGATGAGCATGATGATGATGATGATGATGATGATGATGATGATGATGAGCACTATGATGATGATGATAATGATGACGATGGTGATGATGATGATGAGGAAGATGATGAGGAATATGATGATGATGATGATGATGATGATGATGATGATGATGATGATGATGATGATACTGATGATACTGATGATGATAATGATGATGATGACGAGGAGGAGGAGGAGGAGGGGGGGGAGGAGGAGAAGGAGGAGGATGCGATAATAAGAAGAGAGATGGAACAACTGGGTCAGGGGAGGGAGCGAAAGGACATGCAACAAGCTCTTTTTCCGATGAGGTGTGCCCCGCATGTTATTCGGCCCTTCTAGGACTTCTTCCTCCCCGCCGTCCGATCTCGCTCCTGTTGCTTGTCCCGCTCCTCTCCTCTCCTTGTGTTCTGCTCCTCTCTTGCCCCTCCCTCCCTCCCCCTCTCTTCTCCTGCTCACCCTGCCCAAGCTGCTCCTGTTGCTACTGTCTCTCAGACTTCTCTCCTCCCCCTCGTCCTCCCTCCCTCCGTCCCCTCGTCCTCGTCCTCCCCCTCGTCCCTCTTCCTCGTCCCTCCCCCCCGTCCTCGTCCTTCTCCCCTCGTCCCTCGTCCTCGTCCCTCCCCCTCGTCCCTCGTCCTCATGCCTTCCCCTTGTCCTCGTCCTCCACTTTGTCCCCCCCCCCCCTCCCTCTCCGCCTCGTCCTCCCCCTCTTTCTCCCCTCCCCGCTAATCCCTCCTCGTGACCCTCTCATCTTCCCCTGTGCTGCCGTCCTCCTCCTGCTCCCGCTGTTTCTGCAGCTGCTGCTCCTCCTGCTGCTCGCCCGCTCCTGCTGCTGCAAGTGTGCCGGCAGTTCCTTCTCGCTTTGCTCCACTTCGTCGTCCTCCTCCCCCGCTGGATCCCTCTCATCCTTCCCCTCCCCTTCCTCCTACCCATACCCCTCCGTGTCATCCTCCCCATCCGCCGTCCCGTCGTCGACATCGTCCTCGTCCTCTTCATCCTCCTCCCCATCCTTTGTATGACGGCCCGTCTTCATCCAATTCCGTCCCCTCCTCCTCCTCTTCCTCCTCCACCATTCAGATTCCTTCTCCTTCTTTTTCTCCTATATCCTGTTTCTCCTCCTCCTCCTCCTCCTCCTTTTCCTCCTCCTCCTCATCATCATCACTATCATCGTTCCGTAGCCATTTTTATTCCAGCGGTTTGCCAACATGCGCTACACCTTTGCTCTATCCATATTCCCAGATGCTCGCACTGCGTGGTAGCCTCCCCTGGTGATGTCGCCCACCTTGCCGCGCTTGCTTCACGGTTGTTGCCCCTGCCATAGAGGCTCGCCCTCGTCTTCGGCCAGCTCGTCACACACGCGCTGATATCCATCTGCACCGATTCCGAGTACCCAAGCACGAGGGAGGCCATCAAGGTAATCCAGGAGAGCTCTTGGCTTCGCCGCTGTCTTCTGGTTCTGAACTCTGCTGCTATTCTGCTAAGCATCTTCACTTCGCGCTCAGCTGTCCCAGCTTTTGCTGCCGGCGCCGTCTGCAGCGCCACCGTGGTCATGTGCGCATTGAGGAGCTGCCGTTCGAGGACTGCTACCAGGAGGCCCTCGCGCTACGGCTGGACGCCCCGGACAGGCCTGCCGAGCGCATCAAGGCACGGGAGCAGGCGGCCAAAGCGTCCTCTTGCTGATGCTGCTGCTGTGTTTTTGTTTTTTCACTTATGTTCTGCCTCGGGCCCTTCGAGGAAAAGGGGCCTCCCAGCACTGGCTGGCGCCACCGGGTCAGCCCGCAGGTGCACCAGCCTCGTGCTGCTCTCGTCTTGTCTCGCCGAACATGGTGGCGACGCCCCGTGCGCGTGCTCCGCTCCTGCCTGGCGTCGTGCAAGCCCGGGCTCCTGCACCAGCTCGACTGGCCGAATTACTTCCGCCCGTACCTGGAGGGCGGAGGGTTTATGCAGCCCCGACTCGCCCTCAAGATTTGCTGGGCCGAGGAGCTGCGTATCCGCCGCGCGGTGTCCGCCCTTCCACGTCCTCTACGAAGACATCTGCTGGCCAGTATGATACAAGCTGGTCCAGCGGGAGCTGGCCGACTCTGCAGGCGCGCCTCTCAACATGCAGGAGGCCTCGCTGGAGAACAGCGCTGCCACCATGGTTGCAGTTGCTCGGCATCACGCGGAAACAATTCAGAGCATGCGCAGGACCTTCGCCAAGGATATGAACACCCGTAGCCACGCCTTCACGGCAGAGATGACGTGCAAGATCGCCCGACTCGAGAGCGTTGTGGCCAACGCGGAAGCTCTTGCGCGCGACCGCCAAGCAGAAGTGTTCCAAAGGCTTTCCGGTCGAACACCAAAACGGTCATGAAGGATGGCATTCCCAACCTTCCGATTTCCGAGTGGATTGTCATGTCCTGCCTGGAGCTCACCTCCCAGACCCCCGTGGAGTCCGCCAGGAATCCGAGGAACTACAGTTGGGGTGCGCATCAAGAGACCATGTGGTTTTCGCCAGGGCATCCTGGGTTTCTTCGCTCCGCGAGCTGCGCGGTGACTTCCTGCAGCCGTTGAAGGAGCTGGTGCGCTCAGGGTGCGCTGGGTTTCCCCTCAGGTGCACCCCGCGCGCGGGTTCTCAGGGTTGGGTTTCTTGCGAGGGTTTCTCGCGGCCGCGCCCGCACTGTACGACGACCCGTACCCGCTCAACAGTGGTGGGAGGCGCGAGTTGCTGTTGCCCGACGCTGGCTCGACGCACCACCCGACCTGTCGCAGAGCGTTCCAGGGAGGCAGCCCCCGAACATGCGGAACACATTCTGCACGAGCGACATGGGCATGGAAAGAATGGGCACAATGCCCAACAGCGGATCCTGTTCATTTTGAACAGGGCTCGCTGTCCACGCCGCCGCGGCCTGTGCCCATTCGAGACAGAAGGCCGCCTGCCCAACAGCGGCCGCTGTTGGTTTGGGGCAACGTTTGTTGTTGGGCATTGCGCCCATTCTTTCCGTACCCATTTCGGGCGTCCAATAAAATGTATGTTTGCTCTACGGATTCAGCTTGCGGGACCATCGCGCAGCCCACATACGGACGCGGAGCCTCAACTCCAAGGCGAGGCCGTTCGCAGCGAGAGAGACGAACCCAACGAAGTTCGCGATGCCCACTACGACCTACGAGGAGTCGCTCCCCCTCGGCGCATTCGGTGCCCTCGCTGGCCTGCGCATGCTCGTACGCAGCCCTGTCACGGGTGAGGCCGCACGCGTCGCGGACCAGTGGGGTCACATCTCCGCTCGCCCTCTGATCCTCCACGCTCTCACCTCACTTCCCATGCCATTCCCCTGCCACGGCAATATGCAAATCGTCGGCATGTGCACGCACGCGTGGTGTCTCGCGCTGCATTCCCCCAGCGCTGCACGCGCACACAATCAGGTACACAATCGTTGTAATGATTTGCGCTGTTAAGGAATACCATATCTTAGCTGCCGCTCTCGCCGCATGGCGGTGCTGGAGCGACTGCAGTCGTAGCTGAAGCACCGCATCCCCATGCTACGTTCGATCAGCACCATCATCGTGATCAGTACCCTAATCGCTCTTCATAACCTTGTCAATGTTCTACTCGTCCGTCCCATTTCTCCCCCTCCGTGTCCCCATCTTCCCTCTCTCAATGAATCTCGAAGTCCGGTCGGCAGGTGTATTGCCTTCATGTGGGAGCAGCAATCCAGCGTATCCTAGGAGTGCAGGCGGCAAGTAGCAGACGTGATTCGCAACTTCCTTTGCTTCTCGTGGTCGGCCCAGCTCTGCACCAAGTCAGCCAGGGAGTTGGGCAGGCCCTGGTCGGGGAACGAAGGCAGATGAGGTCTGCAGGTGTGGAGCTCGCTGCAAGCCACGTCGCCTCATTGTGCCCAGTTAGATGTGAGCGCTGCGCCCGTGCTCTCTTGGTGTTCATTCCGTGTGTCACTACATCTGTTTCCCAGGTGCTGGCCCTATCCCGTCAAACCGTGTTTTCTGGAAGCGTGTTTGCTGGCACTCGGGTTTTTTGATTCGCTTGAGAACGCTTTGGCAACCGGGAGAGATCCGGGGAGTTATGGAGACCTTCTGGTTTCCCCATGCCCATCGGTCGGAAGAAGTAGGTAGAAACATGGAGCAGGAAGGCGTTTAAAGCAGATTGGTTGTCCGCCCGCCCCTCGAAGAGGACGGAACAGGTGAAGCCCATCGGCCTTTGAAGTAGGAAGGCGCTCAAAGTAGACAGCAGATCGGAAGTCGGGGCTCCAGAGAGACCTACCTTCAGAGACCGATGGGTAGGGTCTCCCCCGGTATACCGCTGGCCCTGCCTGGTTGCGATGGTCTGGCATGGCCGCCCGGAGGGTCCAGGATGTCCTGCTGGCCCTGGTTGTGGCGAGCGTCTCGTGGCCGCCCGCCCTCAGGTCCCCCCGTGCGTATACCCATCGGTCGTTGAAAGCGTGTTTGCGGGGACTCCTTGGTTCCAGTCTGCTTCAAGTGCCGTCCTGCTTCAAGGATCGAGTGGCTTCCCCTCGTCCCGACTCTTCAGGGGGCGGGCGGAGACCCAATCTGCTTCCAGCGCCTTCCTACTCCATGTGTCTGCCTACTTCTTCCGACCGATGAGTACACAATCAGCGCACAATGTGTGACGCACAGGTTGCCTTTTGCGGCTGGAGGTGCCTACCGTGTGGCGTCCGCGCTGCCCATCTCCCCAACCCCCGAACCACATGCGAATTCCCGAAGAATGGCCAGCTGAACCATCAACAGCTGAGCAATTTGGCGACGAGAGGCCAGCGCGCAGCAAGTAGTTGCCCAGGCGCGTTCAATACCAGCCAGTATCAGTGTTGACGCCCAGAGCGGTGGCACAGGTGGCCCCCCTCGTCAGCATCGACGGCCCCAGTATGAGAAAGCCCGTCGGCGTCGGGCGTCGGTGCCAGCTCTGCAGCGGTCAGCGCTGACGTCGTCGCTGGGATCTGCCCAGCTTGGCGGGGCGGGGCTCCACCTTTCCCTGATGCTGGTCTCCTCTTAGCTTGCCACACTCGCTGAAGAGCATTCGGGCTCTAACGTCGGCAGCCGTGAACAAGTCGGGCTAAGGCGGTGGGGGATAGCCGACGAGGGTAAGCGAGTGTCTGCGGCGCTTCTCCGACCGATCTCTGTTTCCTTGTGGGTTCGGAGAGGCCCCAGCCCTCCTTGCGAGCATCGGGACGGAGAAGCAGGACTGCAGAATTTTTGTGCCTCGACGCCGACACCACCAAGGCACCACCAAGGGAGCCAGCTTCTCCAGCACGAGTGGGACGAGCGGCATGTAACAAAAGAAGAGGCGTCAGCCCTTTGCAATTGAGACAGTGTCGAGCTTACCACGATTGTCTCCCAGGCCGTTCTAAGATCCAGATGGCCTTCCGGGACCAGCCTGCAAAAGCGTAACAGGAGGGGTGATCATGGCAGACGTCACCCAACCCCTTGTTCGTTCTCTCTGTCGAGTGATACTTGCGCGTCATACTTGCAGGCAGAACAGAGGCTTCACTGCCGTGAAATGCAGTCCCTTTGTGACCAGAGCGTTGCATAGCCTGCATCAACAGGTTTGGACAAGTCGATGAGAGTAGGGAGATGAGGAGGAGCAGTAGCAGCAGGAGAGAGCAGGTGTCGGTATGCGCTCGCGGGTGGACTGTCACGTGAGTTGCCGAACCCACCACGCGAGGCCCGTAGGTTGCCCGAGCATATGCCCAAGGGACGGCCGAGCACCTTGCTCCGCGGACAGCAGCAAGCGCAAGAGGGAGTTGGAGTAGAAGGGAAGGAGGGCGGAAGCAGGCGGAGCAGCACCAGTATGGAGGTATATGAGCGTTTTCAGCAGCATGGGGAGCAGGTGGGGTAGGGAATAATGGAGGAGGAGGAGGAGGAGGAGGAGCAAGATGAGGATGGTAATGCAAGAAAATGAGAGGGAACGGATCGGGGCGAGGGGATAAAGGAGGAGGGGGAATACAGGATGAGGGGCGGGGAGGGAGGCGAGTGGAGAAGGACAAATATCGGTGGCTGTGGCTGAAGTCTCCTAGGGCACTTGTCTCGCCGACGACGGCCTTCGCGGCACGATCCATAGGGTCGAATCGACCTTTCAGCTTTTATGTTGTGTGTGAGGGTGTGTGGGGGGGGTTTTCTTTGGAGGCACGGCGCCAGCGCATGGACTACGAACATCTCAAACGTGCAACAATCGTCGAACTCCGTGGTGTATGTGAGTGTGTGTGTGTGTGCGTGTGCGACGACGTGCGTGTGGAACCCATCGTGTGAGGAACGCCGTCTGTGTGTGCGTGTGTAGTCCAGCCTGTATGAAGCCCCATACCTACATGTTTGGAGCTCCATCTGCGTGGAACCCTGCGTGTGTGGAACCCTTCGTGTGTTGAACCCCACGGGCTTCCAAGCGCCAACGGCGCGTGGGGCTCGATGGGGGCTGCAAAAACTACTAGTCTGCGGAATCCCATGGGATACCAGAAGCATCGGTGTTTGGAGTATTATGGCAGCTAGGGCCAGATGTCTGCGCACCAACGTTCAGCGCAAGGTGGTTTCCTGCAATATGAGCATGTCTCGGGGAACGTGAGAGGGAACTCATACGCTGGGGGCGTTCGTGAAGGAATGTGCCCAGGAGGATTCAGACCCTGGAGGATTCCTTATCTGATGAGGGCGGCGGTCATATCCATGGCCAAGCCTCAGTCGATTCTCCACAGCTTCCAAACCCTGGGCTCCTTGTGCAACGGTTCCTTGTTCGATGCCCTCACCGTGCAGCAGGAAAACGAACGCCGGAACGGCTCGGCGCAGTGGCCTCGGTTGGCCCCTCGCCGTTACCTGCGGCCTCAGGTTTGCACACAGACGCCACGTGCGACCACAGGGAGCCAGCGAATTGGTCCACGCAGGCGCGCCGGCGTTGTCTGCTCCCACCCTCCAGTTAAGACAGGAAGAGTGGCGCTCCCACCACGCCCCGTCGCACTCCGCAGCAGCCGCCGCCCGAGCAGAACGGGGTGCCCGGGCGCCCGGCGGTGGCCGCACGGGCGATGCAGGCCAATCCGAAGGTGGCGCACATACAGCGCTTGATGGCAGGCCTGCCAGGCTGGCGCGCATGTGCGCTGATCGCTGCTGCAGTGTCGGCCGCCCAGATGCTTACATCGCAAGCGCTCAAGGGCTAAGGGTGGTCTTGCCGCCGAAGTCCTGCGCATCGCATGGCGTGTGGCGAGCACGTTCTTGCAGCTGCCCCTGGGGGCGCCACGTTGGGACGCGTTGAAGTCGTTTGCAATGTGCCGTGAAACAGGCTTGGCTTTCGCTCCTGTGAGCTCTCACGCCAGATCTGATGATTTCCCGCGTGCGGGACGCGTCCGTTGGGACCCCTGGCTTCTTGCTCTTGGCCCCCCAGAGCGCTCAGTGTTGTAATCTCTCAGCCACGGCTCGTGATTGCGACGTTATCAGGGCATCGCCATCTCCACTGGATGGCCGAGGGGGAAGTTGTGGGGGAAAGCTATGGCCATCTGAGAATGTATACCCAGAATTCTTCTCGGAGGGGTGAAGAGACAAACGCCAAGGTGGATGCACCTTGGTTCCGCAATGGCGGACAAGACTAGCGGGGGCGGTCGGGTTGCCCAGCTCGGGTTGCGGGGTTCGGGCGCCACTCGAGGAAGCCCGATTCTCTTTGGAAGCCATAGGCCTGCCGCAGGTGCCGACGCTACTTGGGCAAAGGGTGGTTCGTGGGGCGTGTCGTCTGCGGATGCGTTTCCAGCCAGGTCGGGCGAATATATTGGCAGACATTCCCATCGATTGGAGGCAACTTGAAGTGCTGCGGTCGGCGTTTTGGGGGAACGTATCGGTTTCGGCCTGACTTGGAGCCCCAGAGTCGGAAACTGGAGCATGTACATTACCGGTGCCGGGCTGTTTCTCCATCCCAGGATTGTTTTGATGATCGGAGGCGACGTCGGGGCCGTGTGGTATACATACATATATATATATACATGTTGTCCCTGCTTTCTCTGGGAAACAACATTGTATAATTATACACCAGGATCCCGTACGCACCAGCATCCGCTTTCTAGTGCGAGCTTCAGTGCGAAACCGAAACAGAAGCGTCGGGGTGTATAGAGGTCGGCTCCTTACAGAGGGCCCCGTACTATTGCGTTCCCCGCCCTCGCCCCCGCGAGCAGCGCCGACGTCGAGGGGTGCCTCCCGCGCGCCCATGGCATCGCGAGCCCGCCGCCGGGCCTCGAAGCAGGGGCGGGCGCAGTCCCTGGCCTCCGCGCTATCGGGTGTGCTGTCCAAGGCTGGTGCCGCAGAGGCAAGCGTCAAACTGTGGCCCAGAGGTGGTTTCTTTTAGGGGGCCACACGCGAAAACCTACCCCCTCCCCCCCACGATTTCTGAGGGGGAGCGTGGGGTTCACTTCGTCAGGGAACTCCCGAGCGAAGTGGACCCCACCCTCCCCTCAGAAATCGTGGGAGGTGCGCTCGCATGTGGCCCCCTGTTCTTCCCAGTCGGAAACTGGAACATGTACATCTCCAGTGGCGGGATGTTTCTCCATCCCATGACTGGTTCGAGGGTGGGGGACGACGTCGGGGTGGTGCGGTGAATACGTTTGGTTTCCCGTTCCCCGGGGGAGACAACGAAAACTGTATACACCAGGATCCCGTATACACCAGGATCCGTTTTCCTGTGCCAATATCACTGCAGGGTTGGAGAAAGTGTCGGTGTACAGAGCTCGTTTCCCGACCTAGCACGCAGAAGCGCCGCTCGCTTTCTGGCGCCTGGTCCTGGTTCTACACAGCCCAGTGGAACCGCAATACATCAAACCCATGTTCACGCCGTAGTCGAACGGTCTTGACGGAGCTATCTTGGAACAGTGTTCTGGCTAGATGATCGATGGACCGCTCGGTCCTTATCAGCCGATGATGGATGGTGGCCCCGCTTTCTTGGTATTGTTTTACCCTGGAGGCTCTCTTCTTCCCTCTGATTCCTCGATCCCGAGCGCGTGACGCGGAAAAGAAATACAGGCATTGCTTGATCGTTCAAAGGTTCGTGGCGACTCTCACTTCTGGCTGAGCCTTTATGCAGGTTGCAGCTTGATCGGTCTTGCACGTGTGTGCCATCTAGTTTCGAACTAGTTGATGCCGCAGCTTGGGCTGAACTGCAGCCTCCTTCCGACCGAACATGTCCCCCCCCCGCCCCCACCCCACCGTTATACCTAGGATGCATCTCCTGGGCTGCTCACTTCAGCATCCGAGTTGGTAGAACCGTGGTCGGAACCCGGCCCAGGCCGGCCTAATCCCGCTGAGGGCCGCTCAATCCAGCTCCATCTGGGCTAATCCCTTCTGTAATTCACCAGAGGGGGAACGAGCCACTACCACCAGCTAGGGGGGCTGGCCGCTCCACCCCCTGAGCCGGTGGCACCCCGTCCCGGGCGCGCACACCCAGAGAGTGCCCTATTGAACGGAGTGCCACCAGCTCGGGGGGGAGGGGGCCTCTGGGAGCGGAGGTCCATGGAGCTCTGGTGGTGGCCCCTTCTTGCTTTCGCGATGCACGGTCCCGAAATCCCAGACAACCCGCTGCTCCAATTTTTTTGGTGCGTGGACCCAGGAGGTCCGGGTTACTTGCCCGGGACCGGTCTTTCGTCCTGAGTCGTTTTTTGACGCTCCCGAGGCCCGGCGAGGGCCCCGAGAGGCCGAAAACGGCCCAAATCCCGGCGCTCCAATTTTTTTGGACCGTCGGATCTCAAGGATCGGGCTCCAGAGCGTCTCATCGATCTCACCTCCACGGAGCTGCTCTCTCTCTCTTTCTCTCTTTTGGCGCTTGCCTCGGCGGCCGCTCGGGGGCCATCCGTGCTGGGCAAGCTGTCCACCACCACTACCGTGCGCAGTACGGGGGAGAAGGGAGGATGAGAAGGTCCTCCTCCTCCTCCTCCTCCTCCTCCTCCCCCTCCTTGGGCACCCTTGGGCACGTTTCCAGAGTGGTGGCAGTCCTTCAGGAAGTCAACGCCCACCGAGCTCTTCTGGCAGCTCAGAGAACGACGAACTCAAAGTTTGGCTGCGTGGTTTTCCTCGCAAGCTAGTTGTCCCGCAGTTCAAGCGTCACTACGAGGAGAAGGTCCTCCCCCTTTATGCACGAATCTATCAAGCACGCGGTCAAGCCGATCTACCACAACATGTCGTTCTCGTACATGGTTGTCTTCCCGAATAAGCAGACGGCGCAGCAGTTTAAGGATGAGTTGTCGGTTCGCAGCATGAATTGCGACTGGACCGACCCGAGGGACAACTCCGTGCACCAGATTCGCGCCGGCGTACACAAGCCCCTCGAGATCAGGAAGCGCGGATACGTATTTGGACAGCTGTGGCGCATGACCAAGCAGCACCTCTTGGACAACCACCTGTGGCGAGAGGGGATCTCCAGCTTGGGCACCAACGCGTACAAAGGCACGCTGTACTACTCCAACGGCATCGAGGCTTGGGAAATCTTCAAGGTCGAGGAGGCTGGCGCCACGTACCGCATCCCCCCGACGCTCGAAGACATCGCCCAGATCTCCTTGACCCCCGAGCAGGCTCACGCGATGATTGCCAAGGTGAGCTTCCCATAGGATGGTGACTACGAGGATACCAGCGACGATGACACACATTTGCATGGTTTTCACCCAAGTCAACGATTTCGCGTTTGTACTTGGAACACAAAGGCTCTCTTCGGCTCGGTATATGGGGATCATCGTGCTCAAGTGCGTCGCTATGCCAAGTTCCGCCGACTCGTCTCCTCTTAAGAAATTCTATGCTGTCAAGAAGTGCATGGCTCAGATGGGGATCTTGCTACGGTAGAACGAGACTTTCCTGGATATATGTTCTTCGGGAGCTTCTGTCGAGAAGCGAGATCAGGTGGGGTCCTAACAAGTCTTGCTCCAGAATTCGCTGAGCAGTTTCACCAAATCAGCTGCGAAGTTCTTGAAGAAGGTCGGTGTCATCTTCTCACGTGCCGAGGACCTGAAGGGGTGCTCCAGGTTTGCAATCTTCATCTCGTGCCTTCGCTGAGTCGGCCTGCCAAGCGAGCTCTTCTTCGGCGCATTCGTGATCGGCTCCTCGATCCGTGCTGCGCGATGGTCTTCCTGGCAGGCGACTTTAACTTTTACGCCACCGCCGAGTCCAGACAGTATCGGGACGGCACGTCCCACACTAATGCCCACAAACTATCGATCGATTTTGACAACATGTTTCCTGATCTTTGCGAAGTTGAACAAGATTTACCTACAAACAAGGAGGAGGTTGGTGGGGGGATCGTTTCGATGGCGAGGTTGGATAGGATTTATATCAACAGCTCTCCTGCGGTTCTTAAAGATATGCAGCCTGGGACGGGAGTCGTGGGCTTCGGGGAGTCTGACTGGTGCAGCGACCGCGCGCCCGTCTTCCTTGGACTTGGCGAGCGGCGTGTGCCTCGCTATGATCGCGTTCCTGCCTGGCTTGCTAGGACGCCCGAGTATAAGGATTCAATTGAGGAGGTTTTGAAGGAGGTGGTTTTAGACGGGGATGTCGGTCAGCGTCTCGATCAATACAACCATGTTTTATACGAAGCTGGTTTCAGAGCGAGGAGGAGAAGGGAGGAAAAGGGGGCTCGGTCTATTCACGGTAAGACTAGCTGGATGTTTTCTGTTCTTCGGGCCATTCGCGAGCATAAGCGAGGAGTTATGCGTGGGGCTGTGCGTGCCTATCCCAAGCTAGCTGCGTTTGTCGACGCTGATGACGGCGTCTGGGTGGACGAGCGCGCGTTCCACAGACATACGCAAGTGCTCACTCTTCAAAGCCTCCAGGAAGAAGAGCTCGATGTCCTCAACGGGTCGCCCCCCCAAGCCTCCAAGGACGCCCACCTCAAGCGTATCAATCGTCTGCGACGAGCCTGGGCGAAGGTTCGAAGAGTAGCACCGTTTATAGGAATTTACGACGATCAGCAGCAAGAAATTCGAGAGCCTGCCGCCTGTGCCAAGCATCTGGCTGAACATTGGGGGGGGGGGGGGGGGGTCATAGAGGAGGGGGCCTGCTGCATCTGCCTATGCCGCGTCCGATAGATTCGTGCAAGCAGCTCCTCATCACATCGAGTGGAAGCTCTGCCGCGAGGAGTTTTTCGAGCGCGTTGGCCGATTTAACGATTCTGCTCCTGGAGGGGATGGGATTCCATATAGCTGCTGGAAGGTGGGGGAGGTTGGGGGGGGGAGCTGCTCTATGAGACTTGCGAATCACTATTCGACCACGGCGAATTGCCCGAGGCTTTTAACGAATGCATCGCTGTGTTCTTGCCGAAGGGGGAGGGGGGGAAAGACAAGGAGGGGGTGTTCCGTACGCCAGCATGCACGAGGCCAATATCTCTTTCAAATTCCTGTAACAAGATCATTGCCAGCGCTATTGCATCGCCGCTTGCTCGAGTCGCTGTGCATACGGTGGCCTCCTGTCAGCGCGGGTTTGTACCTGGCAGACAGATTGTAGACAACGTCTTGGACTTAGAGGCAGCGCTGCTCGAACGCGGGGCGATCTACGGTTCCAGGAAAACTGGGTTGTGTTTGTTTGATGTGAAAGCTGCTTTCCCCTCGGTGCACCACGCCTGGATCTTCAGAATTCTCGAAGCTATGGGGCTGCCACCGCAGATCGTTCGAGCAGTGCGAGCCCTGTATACGGATATCCAAGTGATAGTGTCTTTCAATGGTTGTCGGGACCACCGGCTTCAGCTTCAACGAGGCATAAAACAAGGGTGTCCTTTGAGTGGGGTGATTTTTGCGTTGATTATGGATCCAATCTAGAGGAGTATGGAGGAGGCTATTCCTGTTCCTGGGGTTATCCGAGCGTTTTCCGATGATGTTGGCTTCGAAAGCGAAGACCTGTACACGTGTCTGCCGCCTATTTTGAAGCTGCGGAGTTACGCAGCTGGAGCTGCTGGTCTTGTGCTCAACTTGCAGAAGACTGAGTTGTGCTTCCTGTTCCCCCAGAATGATATTAATGCTGAGTTTCGGTCGAGAGGAGTTCGGATTCGTCGATTTCGAGTTGTTCCTAATGTTCTGTATCTCGGAGTTCGACTGGGGCCAGAAGCACATCTCACCGTTTGGGATAAGCCGATTGCTAAATGCCGTGCTAGGGGTCTCCTCATCCGAGCTCTCCAGAAGTCTCTCGTGGGGAACATTGTGGCCTACAACACCTATGGCATCACTGTGCTATCATACATGATGCAGTTCTACCCCCCTAGCACTGAAGCCCTGAAAAAAGAAAGAGACGTAGTTCAGTTACTCACTGCTGCCCCGCGGATTTCTACTCCCCCGGACGTCCTGCGCGATTTCAAGGATTTGAAGTTCAGCACCGAGGTGCGCAGCTTTGGCCTGGTCTGCGAGGCTGCACGATATCGCACTGCGTTTTTCTCCTCGGCATTTCATCGCGGTCGGGAAGCTCTGGCCGCAGCAGACGACAGTATTGAAAGAACCTTGGTCCCGAGTCTTCCTGAATGGCGTAAGTCTTGCATCATGTACCAGATGATTGCGTTATATGATCGTGTATGGCAGGTTCCACGGGTGCCCCAAGAGCCTTGTCGAAGCCTTCAACACAAATCTGAGCGTGCTCTGAGGCCCCTGCATTTCTGTAATTCTAATGCTAGTCGTTTGCTCCCTAGGCTCCGATACTGGTCCTTCGAGGCCTCTCCTCTGAGGCCAATGATTTTGTTTTCCAGCTGCGTTTGTTGAATAGAGCTCTCCCTGAGCTTATAGGCATTAGTGTTCTGAAAAAACTGTTTGTAACTTTTGGTGTACAACGAAACGGTTCCGAAACGGAACCCTTCAATGCCGTCTGGGGTGTATGGCTCTCGGCGGCGATTCTCTCTGTCATTATCTCTCTTGTCCTGTCTTCCTTGCCTCTGCCTCTCGCTTGCTCCCTTCCCTTCCATCCGAGTGGTCTCAGCTGTCTTTCGAGGATCGGGTGCTTATGAGAAAGCACACGTGGGCCTCTGGCGAGCAACTCTGTGCTCTCGCTGTCTCGCTCGATTTGTGTCTTAGCACGTTCAACACACAGCGAATTCAAGATATATTTGATATGTGTCATGTGCAGTCGTTGTTTCAGGCAAGGGCCAGGGCCATCAGCAGGAGGTCTCAGCACCTGCGCGCCTTGTCCCACTAGTCGTCCTACGACCAGGAGCTCCGGCCTCTCTACTGGTGGGTGCCTCCCCTCCTCCTCCTTCTCCTCATCCTCCTCCTCCTCCTCCTCCTCCTCCTCCTCCTTCTCCTCCTCCCCTCCTCCTCCTCCTCCTCCTCCTCCCTCCCTCCTCCTCCTCCTCCTCCTCCTCCTCCTCCTCCTCCTCCTCCTCCTCCTCCTCCTCCTCCTCCTCCTCCCCCTCCTCCTCCTCCTCCCCCTCCGACCTATGGCAATGGTGGTGGGAAATGGGCCTCTCAGTCTGGGCGCGCCTCGGGACGACCCGGGCGGGCACCCCCGGGAGCCTCTCGGCGGGGCGCAACTGCTGGACAGCACGCACCACGAGGCCGGACAGCCGAGGACTGCCGCTGTCCTGGGGTGGCTGCGTCTTCCTGCTCGCCAGAGCGTCTGACACCTGTACGGGGCTGCCAGGACTCGTTTCGATTCCCTCGAGTCGATTCGATTCGACTTCGATGGCTTCCGATTCCGATTCGATTCGATTTGGGATTCCGATTTGGGCGCCGACTTCTCACTGGAGGCCTACTAGCCTGCCGATTTCCGCCGATTCGACTTTTCCCGACTCGGCTGCCGATTTCCGCCGATCCGATTCATTTCGATCGCCGATCCGACTCACCGATTCGATTTTGGGCTCTCCTGGCTGCGCTGCCACCGTGGCGCTCTGCCGCGGCCTCGCGGCGCTCCTGCTCCGAGCGCACGCCGCTCGAGGCGGCGGAGAGCTCCCCTGGGATCCCGGAGATCCCGCGCATCGGAGAAAAATCGGGGGCGGCAAAGAGGGGGGTGATGACTAGGGGGGGGTGGATATCATGGCGCGGGCCATGATATTTCCCCAGATTTCATGGCGCCCCTTCTTATTTCATTACGTCCCTGGACCCCCCGCTGGGCCGCGCACATGCCGCCGGTCATGATTTGCACCCCCCCCTCTTGGACACCCCCCTCTTGGCCGCTCCCGAGAAAAAGGCAAGCCGAAAAAGCTCGGCCGCAGCCTCGGGCCTCGCCCAAATTAGGCTTCGGTGCCACTTCCCGGGCCGGCTCGATATCTGCGAGGGCCCCGCGGGGCCCGCAGCCGGGCGGCGAAACGCCCGGCTCGAGAAGAGCTGCCATTCGCCAGGATCTCTCGAGGCTCGAAGTAACGCTGCGCCCGCCGAGGTCGGCGCTGGGCGCGCTCCCGCTCGGCACGGGCGCCTGCTTCGGCGTCCTCCAGCCGCCGGCGCGCCACCGGGGGCCCTTCGTGGGCCGCGCGCCCGCTCGCCGCGGCGCAGCGGCGCGGCCGTCCGAGAGGGCGGGCGGCGTGGCGGCCGGCGCTGCGGGCCGGGGCCTCAGCCTGGCCGTATATAGACACGCTCACGGCGGTGCGGGTAGAACGTCAGCGACGTGGGCGTCGGTCGTGTGCGGGGGGGGGGAGTGGTGGTTCGTGGCCCAGCCAACCAGTCGACGAGCGTGGCTCGCCGTCTCCCACAACTCCCTGCGGCGCGTTTCCTCGATGTCTTCGCGCCCTTGACGTGTGCGACAGTGTGGCTGGAGATCTCCTAGCATTTGTCGGCGGCGAACGAGAGGGGGGAGTGAGAAGGGGAAGGCCTCCTCAGAAGGCTCGGCAGCCTCCTGGCCTTCTGAGCAGGCTTCTGAGCCTTCGCCGAAGACACCAGAAACTTCTCAGCAGGCGCGAGGAGTTTTGAGAAGCCCCGCCGCCATCTGAGAAGCCCTTCTCCGTCTCTCTTCCCCCCCTCTCGGGCCGGACGAAAGGGGGGCATTGGGAAAGGGGGGCGTACGAAATCTGCTGCATGCAGCTGGTCTCAGCCCCACCGAGGGGCCAATTCCTCGATACATGGCCGCCCTCCGGCGCCGGGAGGCGCCGGGAACATCAGCTGATTCTCCCCCCCCCCCCCTTTGCTTACCAGCCTGGAACATATCCCTATCCCTATGCTGGGCACCTCCTCATCACGATGCCAATCTTAGGGATTCCCTTATTTTGTTGAGGGCGAGCCCCTAAGATTGTCATCGCCTCTTGGCGTGTCAATCTCAGGGACAGGGATACGCTCGAGGCCGGTAATTGGCCCCCCCTTTTTCGCCCGACCCGGCCCTCGCTCGCCCCTCTCAGTTTGTGCTGCGCGGGCTCGGCGCCGCAACGGCCAGCCTCCCGGCATCATACCGTGAGCCAACAGCAGGAGGGAAAGAAGCACACAGGCACAATGAATCGTCGATCCCCAGGAAAATATGGGGAAGTATGGCAATTGGGGGGAAGACAAAAAAACAAAAAGATAGGAAGACATGGGGACTCTTGTTACCTGTATATATATATATATATATGTGTGTGTGTGTGTGTGTGTGTGTGTGTGTGTGTGTGTGTGTGTGTGTGTGTGTGTGTGTGTGTGTGTGTGTGTGTGTGTGTGTGTGTGTGTGTGTGTGTGTGTGTGTGTGTGTGTGTGTGTGTGTGTGTGTGTGTGTGTGTGTGTGTGTGTGTGTGTGTGTGTGTGTGTGTGTGTGTGTGTGTGTGTGTGTGTGTGTGTGTGTGTGTGTGTGTGTGTGTGTGTCCCAGGGCCCCTTGACCAGCAGCGCCGCGAGCGTGGCCCTGGCCCACGGACCATGGGCAGCGGTCGAGGCCCGGGGCCCGGTCGCACACAGCCCCTCCAGTAGATGGACAGTCTATTCGAACCCTTACTCTTAAGTCGGACCTGTCCCCCTACAGGGGGATTTTCGACGAAAGATAAAAGATGCCCCAAGCATAATCAAGAAATAGTCCAGAAATAGTCTGGGGACGAATTTTTGAATATTGTCTGACCATTTTGGGGGCATTTTTTGAGTATTTTTGTTTTTCGTCGAAAATCCCCCTGTAGGGGGACACGCCCGACATTACCTTGCACTGATGGACAAGATATCCGAACCCCTAATACATTCGAGGGAGATTCAGAATCACCCCCGCGCCCCCGACATCAATGTTGCTCCCAGTAAAGGCGGTGCTTTGGGGTTCCAATATTTCTGTCCACTCACGCCCCCCCCCCTGGCGGCGTGAAGGAGCTCGCGACGAGCGGAGGGGGAGGAGGTCGACCAGACTGAAGTCGGGCCTGTCTGTCCCTCTACAGGGGGGGGGGAGATTCAAAAATAGCAAAAACATAGTCTGGGGACGCTTTTTTTGAATATATTTGACCAATTTGGGGCATTTTCGGAGTATTTGTTTCTTTGTCGTCGAAGATGCCCCTGTGGGGGACACGCCCGACTTCACCCCGGCCCGCGGTCATGGGCAGCGGTCGAGGCCCGGGGCCCGGTCGCCCACGCCCCTCCCCCCCCGTGGCGGCGTGAGGGAGCTCGCGACGAGCGGAGGGGGAGGAGGTCGACAAGACTTAAGTCGGGCGCGCTCCTCTACAGGAGGAGTATTCAAACGTAGTTAAAAAATAGTCTGGGGACGATTTTTCTACCAAGTTGGAATATTTTAGGGCATTATTTGACTATTTTTAGTTTTCGGCTCAAAATCGGCCCGTTTAATTTTTCGCTTAAAATCGGCCTGTAGGTGGACACGCCCGACTTAAGACTAGACGCAAGAGGGAGATGATGCATGATGGTGCTGGTAGCTAGGCAGGTGTTGATCGAAGGATTGCGACCTCCTAACTCGCACCTCTAGGGCCCTCAGGGGGTAGCAGGTGCCTCTGGAGGACCACGGAAGGTGCCCTTGTCCCCCCACAGTGCGGTCCCTCTGCAGGCCAGTGGAATCCCCCCGCAGGGCCGCTGGCAGCGATGATGCATGATGGCCGAAGAAGAAAGCGCATTAAACATAAACTTTTGGCGCTCCGCGCGGATTTCTTGGATCCGCGCTTCCCCCCGCCCCCCCCCTTGGACGCGCCTCCGGCGCCGCCCTTTGTGCGCTCCGCGCGCCAGGGAGGGGGGTCCAGCGTAGATCCAAGACATCCGCGCCGAGCGCCAGGAGTTTTTGTTTATGCATTGTTTTCCCGTCTGCTCATCATCCCTCCCTCCTGTCTGCGGGACTTCGGTCCCTAATCTTCCCATTTTCGTCTACTCCCCCAGGGGGGCCCGACCAGGCCTCCCTGGGGGAAGCGGCTGTGTCCGAGGACGCCAGAGCCGACAGGCGCCAGGAGCCAGACGTCAGAGTGACCCTGCACCGCAGTGCCCTCTGGTGCGGGGCACATTTGCGGTCCCCCGATCGCCGAGCGCGATGCGCTAGCAGCGTCTTGCGCGCCCGTGTTTGGTCACCCCGCGGCCCCCACAAAACGCCGCGCACCAGAGGTCATTCGTAATGGAGGATGACGATTAATAATTGACCGGGGGTCGTGTTCACGCGGCGGCGCCCGGGATGACGATGAGAGACAACCGGCCGCGGGCTGGAACACTATTTGTTTAATCGTTCTCCTCCAGAAACTATTTGTGTAATCGTTCTCCTCCAGTCAGAAACTGGTGCAGAAATAGCAGGCAACTATTTTGTTTTATCTCCCCCCCCATTTTTTGATCAATCGTCATCCCTTCTTGCCCAGGGTCGCTCCTGCGTGTGGCCGAGGAGGGAGCCCGAGCTGCAGCGTGTTTGCTGCAGAGGGTCGGGCCTTGTTCGGTCCACGCCTGCCTGCAGCCCCCCCCTCGCTGCGGGCCTCGATCACCGGCTCCCTCCTCCTCGTCCTCCTCCTCCTCTTCCCCCTCCTCCTCCTCCTCCTCCTCTTCCTCCTCCTCCTTCTCCTCCTCCTCCTCGGCCTCCTCCTCCCTCCCTCCCTCCCTCCCTCCCTCCCTGGGCTCCGGGCCGACGGCGCCGAGGCCCCCGAAGAGCACAAATGTCGCGGCGGGCTTTGGCTCCGCGTCGTCGTCGTCGTCGTCCTAGTCGTCCTAGTCGTCCTAGTCGTCGTCATCGTCGTCCTAGTCGTCGTCGTCGTCGTCGTCCGTCGTCCGTCGTCGTTGTCGTCGTCGTCGTCGTCGTCCTAGTCGTCGTCGTGGTCGTCGTCGTCGTCCGTCGTCCGTCGTCCGTCGTCCGTCGTCCGTCGTCCGTCGTCGCTGCTGTCGTCGTCCGTCGTCCGTGCAAAATCGACTCAGGATGAGACGCCGGTCCCAGGGAAGGCCTCTGGTCGGAGGCCTAGAGGTTGACACCAACACCAATCTCGGCGGTGTGCCTCCACCGAGGGAGGACGATCCCGATCTCGGCGACGTTGGTAACAGTCAGGCTTGCCAGGTGGCCAGAAGAGTACCACCAGCACCAGGATCCAGGATCACATTCCTCCCGCGGAGGCAGCCCCTGGTGTTGGTGTTGGTGCTCATTCCCAATCCTCCAATCTGGGAGTCGACGTTGCGAACAAAAGCCACGATGCCCGGACGAGGAGGAGGAGAACGAGGGAGGAGGAGGAGGAGGAGGAGGAGGAGGAGGAGGAGGAGGAGGAGGAGGAGGACGAGGGGGAGGAAGAGGAGGATAACAATCTGGGGGTCGTCGCTGCTGGGCTTTCGGCCGGACCCGATCGCTCTGAGGGCCTGCCCGCTTTCGGGTCCAGCTCAAGGGGGGCTCTCCATGGGCCGATGTTCCACCACCGCCACCGTAGGAGGAGGAGGAGGAGGAGGAGGAGGAGGAGGAGGAGGAGGAGGAGGAGGGCCCAAACCGACTCCAGGAGGCTCCGAGGGGGGGTCCCACGACGTCCACGGAGATGTGCAGCGGCCGCTGCACAGCTCTGGGCCCCGCTCGGGAGCCGTCTTGGAGCCCCCCTTGGGCCCCAGGACGGCCTGGGAGAGAGCCCGAAGTCCGCTCCCCTCGTGGGCCCTGCGGCAGCTTCGGGCTGCGTCGCCGCGGCGGCGACCCTGGCGCGGGCGTGCAGGGTTGGATGCCGCCAGTGGCCCAGAATCAATCTGCCGATAGGGGGCGATCGGCGCTGTCGGAAACCCGCGATCGCTCAAGGCTGAACGAGAACCCCATGCCCCGGATAGTAAATCGTCCCCCCTCTGAACCCCCTGGTCTTCACCATCTCTGGCCAAGACAGAGTTTTGGTCGGGTGAGAGGGGCGGCGAGGCCGAACTTCATTATCCCCGGGGAAAGTTAAGAAGCGAAGTTGCGATCTTCTCATGTTGGGAAGAATCATCGACACGAACGTGTGGCAGGGCTTTGGGATTCTCACCATGAGAGCTTCCCCTGGCATTCTCAACATGCAACTCGCTGGGGCAACAAGTTTGTTATCCCCCCGGATTCCCGAACTTTCTTGACTCTGGGGGATTGATAATATCGGGGGCACTCGGTTACGCGCGGTGTCAGAACCCACCGCCGACGTCGTCGCGACCTGAACTTGCCGTGCCGCCATCCCTCCCTCGTCCTTCTTGTGTTGTGGACGCGGGGAGTTTGAGGGAGGCCGAGATGGCGCAGGCTCAAGTTGTGTGACACCGCGCTGGGTACAGTCGGGGCCCTGAAGAAGGAACCCTTTTCGTTGGGAGGGGCTCCGCGTTCCTTAAGTGTCTCGCAGCTTGCCTCAGGTTTCCCTTGTGTTTTCGATCGCAAATCGAAGTTTAACTTATGGAGAGAAAAAAAGGGGCCTCGTTCCTTATTTTGGGCTCCTTAGGTCAAGGCCCCGACTGTACTTGATTCGTGCGATCGGCCTTCTCGGGCGATCGATCGACATCCGGGCGGAATGGTGGCAACTGTCGCGGAACGGGAGGGGTTGCTTCGTGCCTTGCTCGGTCCGACCGGGGGGCGCCCTCCTATGAGGCGAAGGCATCGGCGAGCGCGCGGACAGCAGGCGAGCTTGCTTTTGAGAGGGGGCCTCGTGGTGTTGGGGAATTGCAGGGCATGGAGGGGGAACGGAGCGGAGATGCAGGAACAGCAGGTGGGGTCATCATCATCCCGGCAGCCTCGAGATGCCCCGTAAGCCCGTTCATTCTCGGACAGATGGTCAGACTCGTCTTCTGGTGCACGCACCCTCTTTTCCAGCAAATGGCAGGCGGTAGTCGGTCCCTGGGGAGGCGGATCCTGTTGCAGCTGCCCCCCCCCAGTCCGGAGCGCAGATTCGGTGCCAGAGGGTTCTGAGCTTCCAGAGCAAAGGCGTCGAGTCAAGATCATTCGAAAACAGGGCTAGGATCGGGATAAATCGCTCCAGAGCGTTCCGGAGCGCTCTCAGAGCGTTCCGGAACGCTCCGGAGCGGCCGCGGCGCCCAATACATCCTCCAAACCCACCGATTCTCAGAGATTTCGAGTTATCCCGATCCGATTTTGTCCCGATCTTCGCGTCGTTTTACATTCGAAGACGAGCAAATACATGAACATCAACTTTCGGCGCTCCGCGCGGATCTCTCGCATCCGCTGTGGGCCCCCCCCGTGGCGGCGTCGCCAGCGCCGCCCCCTGGCGCGGTCCCGGCGCGCCGCGTAGGGGGGTCCCTCGCCGACCCTGGAGAGATCCGCGCGGAGATCCTGCAGGCTACGTTTGGTTTGCGCAGCTGGTTCTTTTAGGGGGCCACATGCGAACCCTACCCCTAATGGAGGATGACGATTCATAAATGACCGGGGGTCGTGTTCACGCGGCGGCGCCCGGGATGACGATTAGAAAAAACCGGCCGCGGGCTGGAAAACTATCTTTTTTAATCGTTCTCCTCCAGTCAGAAAAGTGTGCAGAACTAGCAGAAAACTATTTCTTTAATCGTTCTCTCCCATTTTTTTTAATCGTCATCCCGCATTACCCCTACCCCCCACGATTTCTGAGGGGGAGGGGGGGGGGTCACTCCGCTCGGGAGCTCCCGAGCGGAGTGAACCCCACCCTCCCCCTCAGAAGTCGTGGGGGGTAATTAGGGGTAGGGTTCGCATGTGACCCCCTATCTTTTCGTCTGGGAGAGCAGGCATGGCCTCCGCTTGAGAGGCTTCGACCTCCGCGGCCAGTCAGGTACCCGGGGTGGAGGAGGAGGAGGAGGAGGAGGAGGAGGAGGAGGAGGAGGAGGAGGAGGAGGAGGAGGAGGGAGGAGGAGGAGGAGGAGGAGGAGGAGGAGGAGGAGGAGAGGGAGGAGGAGGAGGAGGAGGAGGAGGAGGAGGAGGAGGAGGAGAGGAGGAGGAGGAGGAGGAGGAGGAGGAGGAGGAGAGGGAGGAGGAGGAGGAGGAGGAGGAGGAGGAGGAGGAGGAGGAGGAGGAGGCGGAGGCGGAGGCGGAGGCGGAGGAGGAGGAGGGGTGTGCCGGCCTCGGGCCCGCGTGGCCGGCGGCCTGCTGCGGGCAGGCCCTCGGCAAAGCACGGCCCCTCTCCAGCCCGCGGTGGCCCCTGGCGGCGGCCGCGGCCGGGTGCCTCGCGGCCCTGCGGAAGCTGGCGGGCCACCGCCTGCGGCAGCCGGCGAAGAGGTCGGGCTCCGCTGCCCGCGCGGCTGCCTCGCGGGCTGCTCCCAGCCTCTGCGCTCATCCTGGCACGTGTGTCCCTCGCCCTGGCCTCAGAGCTGGAATTACCTACCCCGCTTTCGCTTCCGGGAGAGACCAAGTCATACCACGCGCCTCCTCGTCCAGCGGCCTGACCAGCGCAGGCCGTAGTTTGGCGCCGCTTGGTATCTCTTGGAAGCGAGGGTGGTCAAAAGCGAGGTAGGTTTGTTTGCGCCCTATGGCCGCTGTTCTGCTCGGGCCTCTGGGTCGGGGGAGCGAGCAGTGACATCAACATAAAAAGCTCGGAGATCCGCGCGGATTTCTCGAATCGGCTGGACCCCCCCTCCCGGGCCCGCGGACCACGCCAGGGGCGGCGCCAGAAGCGCCGCCAGGGGGCCCCCGCGCGGGTCCGAGAAATCAGTGCGGACCTCCGAGTTACTATGTTTATGTCGTTGTTTGTTCTCCTATGGGTGCGCCAGCCGGGGGATGATGAGGGGCACGTGCGCGGTGTGCTCAGGGTGCGTGGCGCACCAGAGGGCATCTTGGGGGGGGAATAGGCACAGGGGGGGACGCATCGACCCCCAGTCGCGCCCATTGATCGCCGACAGGGGTCCAACAGCCCCAGCCTGCCCAGGAACGTGTGGAGTCGCTATCGGGGGCCTCTCGCCGATCTATCGGCGATGAGTCGCCGATTCCAGGTCGATGTTTCCTCCCCTACAGTGGCGGGCCCATGCCAAGAAACACCCTGCTTGCCTCCAGGATGCCCTGGGTTTCTTGGGCCTCGATGGTTTTGCGGTGGAGAGCGCGACCTGCCCACGCCAAAGATATCAGTGGACGCCCTGGGGCCGCGATGCGGGACACCACGCTGAGCGTGGAATCTAAGAACAAGGACCAGGTAACAGTGAAGTAGGGGTCAAAGAGGGCTTGGTCCTCGCGCAGCCAATAGGTGACAAAATAGCCTTGCAGGGGCGCCGCCCGGACGGCGCCCAGGGAGATCCGCCCCGCATGCTTAGGCAAAAGCCGCCGGCGGTACCAGCGGACACGCCACGGGCGGGAGGCCCACCGAACGGCCTTCGACCCCAGTGGTGTCGTGGGGCGACTCGAGGGCAAAAACCGCCCAGCGACGCGGGCCGTCCACCGCAACATGTGCCAAACACGGGCCCCGCCACAATTCAGGAGGGGAAAAAAAACACAGACACAATTAATCGTCCATCCCCCAGAAAGTATTGGAAAATATGGGAAGTGCGGGGGAAGACCAAAACCCTGTAAATATTACAAAATATGGGGAATCCTTTTATTTGTGTGTGTACTTATTTGTGTGTCCTGGGGCCCCGCCACAATTACTCTTACTGACATCAGGTGCGCCAAAATGCAACATTCTTCAAGGGCAGAAAAAAACGCCCCTACCCTGGTTTACGAGGCGCTGTGCTCTGAAACTCCCGTGGGCTGACAGGGTAAGCCATGCGTGATGTGCCGAGTCCTGGCGGCTCTATGCTTTGGGGGTTCCCGGGAGGCTTACAGACCGCGCAAACAAAACATCAAACAGACAGAACAAAACCATGTGAACAAAACACAAAAACAACAACTAAAACAAATCAGCCGCTCGATCAAAACAAATCAACAAAAACAAAAACGCACTTGTAATCCAGGGTAGGGTCGATTTTTCATCCCTCAAATTCTCCAACGACAATTTTTTCGAAGTGGGTGGCCGTTGCTGCGGCTGCACACGGGGGGGGCGGCCCGTCAACTTCTTCCCGTCGGCATGCGTGCTCCGACGGCCATGGCTGGTACCATCCTCCGCCCGCCCCTACTGGGTTCGAAAAACGTTCCGTGGCCCTTGCAGGGCTCGTTTCGATTTCTCCGATCCGGTTCGATTCGATTTCGATGGTTTCCGATTCCGATTCGATTCGATCTGGGATTCCGATCTGAGTTCCGATTTCTGATTGGAGGCAAACTAGCCTGCCGATTTCTGCCGATCCGACTTTCCCCGACTCGGCTGCCGATTTCCGACGATCCGATTCATGTCGATCGCCGATCCGACTTGTCGATCCGATCCTGGGCTCTCCTGCCCTTGTGCCCGTGGCCTCTCGTGTCCAGGGAGCATCAGGCCCCCTTTTCCAGGTTCATCTAGGCGGCCAAACGACCTACTTTGGGAAGGGTGCCAAGGCTTCTTCCGGAGGTACTTGTGACCTACTTAGCGCCTTTGCCTCGAAGACGGCCTCTGCGTGGTGTCCCGCATCGCGGCCCTGGGATCTCAGGGTTGGGTTTCTTGGGGAAGGTTTCTTGTGGACTGGCCTCCGCTGTATGCCTCGCCCCCCCTACAGTCAACCCGCATAGTAAGGATGGGCAACCTTCCCAAGGGTACCCTTGCATCCTTTATCCTTGCCTCCTCGGCCATCCTTGGCCACTTTGGTTGGCCGCGCCCCGCTCGCAACGTGTCGAAATTCGGGCGAAGGGAACAATGCACATTCACCGATCCTGGCAAGGCTCATCCTTGACCCAGGATCGGTGCATATACCCTTCCAGCCAAGGTAGGAGGGCGTGTGCACCGATCCTGGGCTCAGGATGGGCCTGGCCAGAATCGGTGTATGTGCATAGTTCTCTTTCCTCTAGAAATGGCCTTCCAAGGTCCTTGCACCCTTATCGCGCGTCCTTATCATACGGGTTGACTGTGTCGTTGCCCCTCAGGGGCGCGCTCCGCGCTCTGGAGTTAAGTCGGGCCTGTCCCTCTACAAGGGGAGTATTCAGAAATAGTCAAAAAATACTCCGGGGACTATTGTTTGATTCTTTTTTGGCATTTCGGATCACTTTTGGGGTATTGTTATTTTTCGTCGGAAATTCTCCTGTAGGGGGACAGGCCCGACTTGATCGTACGGGTTGACTGCGTCGTTGCCCCTCGGTGGCGCTCCGCGATCTGGCGCCGCCCCGCCCCGCCGCGCTTCGGGGCTCCACGGGGCGTGGGGCGTGCGCGGGCCTCGGCCATCCTCGGCCATCCTCGCCTCCTCGGCCATCCTTGCCTCCTCGGCTTCCTCGCCTCCTCGGCCATCCTCCGCGCCCGTATGATGCGGGTTGACCGTGCCGTTGCCCCTCGGGAGCGCCGTGCCGTGCCGTGCCGGATTCAAACTCCTCCTCCTCCTCCTCCTCCTCCTCCTCCTCCTCCTCCTCCTCCTCTTCCTCCTCCTCCTCCTCCTCCTCCTCCTCCTCCTCCTCCTCCTCCTCTCATTCTCTCGAACCTATACATCACCAGTGGCGGGCTGTGTTTCAATCCCAGGATTTCTTTAAAAGGGTCGAGAACGACGTCGGGGCGTTGCGGTGTGTGCTTGTTTCCCTTGTTTCCCTGGGGGACGCCCCTGAGGGCAGAGGATGGGGGGCCACAGGCGAACCCTACACCTACCTCCCACGATTTCTGAGGGGGAGGGTGGGATGCGCTTCGCTCGGGAGCTCCCGAACGAAGTGCACCCCACCCTCGGGGGGTGACCCTCCCCCTCAGAAATCGTGGGGGGTATACTCCAGGCGATGCTTCAGAAAACCCAAGTTTTCGGCCAGAGTCTCGATTATTCTTAATGTTTCAACGTAAATCCTAACATTTGAATAGACATTCTGGGTTTGATTTCAAATTCTGAGACTATGAATTTCTTAACCCATGATTTCTAAAGCATTTCGCAGGGTATAGGGGTCGGGTTCGCATGTGGCCCCCTAGACGGGGCTCAAGAGACGGGGGTCAATGCAAACGGGGGTCAGCCAGGGCACCGGATCCTACAGGATCCTGCGAAGACCCCCTCTGGCTGACCTGGGTTAGTGAGCCGCTCGTGGCCGCGAGGCGGTCGTGCATATTGGCCGGCCCGGGTTTGCGAAGAGCTGCGTTGCAGTCTTTTTCCTGCATTGCAGTTGTTGGTTTCCTGCTGACCCGGGTTTGGATTGACCCGGGTCAGAAGACCCCCGAGGTGCATTCGATTGAGCGCCCCCTGAGGTCAGAGGAGGAAAAGGTAACCGATGCTGGTGCCCCTCTCTCGTTCTCGCCTTCTTGGGCCTCCTGGGATGCCCTCGTCGCCACCGCTGGCGTTCAATCGAATGTCAGGGCGGTGGTGCTTGCCCCCTCATGGGGAATCCAAGATATACCGATACCGCTACTCCCCGGACCGCGGCCCGCCCTTGGGCCGCGCACATGCCGCCGGCCATGATTCAACGCCCTTGAGGTCAGAGGATGAAAAGATACCGATGCCGGTGCCCCTCTTTCGTGCTCGCCTTCTTGGGCCTCCTGGGATGCCCTCGTCGCCACCGCTGGATTCGCTCAGAAAATCTGGTCAGATCGCACCCCAGGAGGGGTCCGGGGAGTAGCGGTATCGGTATCCTTTGGTTTCCCCATGAGGGGGCAAGCACCACCGCCCCGACATTCGATTGAACGCCCTTGAGGCCGGGGGCGGCCAAAAGGGGTGATAATTATGGGGAGGTGGATATCATGGCGGGGGCCATGATACCTCCCCAGATTTCATGGCGCCTCTGCTCATTTCGATACGTCCCCGGCCTCCCCTTGGGCCCTTGGGCTGCGCACATGCCGCCAGCCATGTTTTGCGCCCTTCCCTCTTGAACGCCCCCCTCTTGGACGCCCCCGATGAGGGGGCAGACACCACTGCCCCACGTTTTTGGGAGCGCAGAGATTATGGGAGGCTGGGTGGAGGAAGAAGAGAAAGCGAGAATGGAGGGTCCAAGACGACCCCAGAGGGAATCAAAAAACATCCAAAGCTGCCCTCGAGGGCCCCAAAAACGGCACCCAAAGGTATCGAAAACGGCGGACGAAACCGAAGGGGGATACGGATAGGTGACAAGGGGCAGACGCGAGTTACGTTTGTGGCCTCAGAAGGGCCTCCAGGGACCCCCTTTGCGCGCCCACCAAAGACGGTTCAAGAGGGCGCCAAAAGAAGGCCAGCCAGCCGACCCACCATGGGTCCGAGAGGTTTCTCAGGGATTCATTCACTTTAACCCCACTG